TTTTAAGGTCTATGGTTTATTTAGTCTTAGAGTCCATTAAAACGTCAATACATAGCTTTCACAAACAAATAGAGGGGTGGGTGCTTCCTGTCAGTAGGTAGTAAATTTTTTTTTTCTCAAAAAATTTAGTAAAAGTTTTATGATGAATCTATGGATGAATTACGTTACGAAGTTGATAGAGAAAATGGCTTCCATTTCTCGTTATTTCATTCTCAGTTTTCATAGGGTAATAAAAATGGATCTTTTGAAATATAATTGCTGCTCGATATTCAATACGTTGTTGTAAATTATTGTGACTAGTGGGATATTTTCTGCAGAATTGTTTCGCAGGCTACTAGCATTTTATTTATGTATGTATATATTGAAAAAAAAGCGCGAATTTTTGTCAACTTCTAATTCAAGCATTGCTTTTCGATCTGCGTTTTATATTTGGATTTTACGATTAGTAGCGCTTGAAGACGGACACGCTATCATGACCGCGTGTTTGTTTGGGACCAGCATACCCTACCGGTGCACACAGTGTCAATACACGAAACATGTATTTGAAAACTTACCGGTCTTCGCGGAAAGTAGGTGGAAGCTGTTTCGGTCTGGCAAGAACGTCGATCCGTTTCACGTTGGCTGTGAACGACAAGAAAATGGTAGATAATTAGAAAATATATAGTATATCCCTTGAAATAAAGTAACTATGAGTTATGTCGACACGTAAAGACTTACACTGTGTAGCGGCGGCCATGGCGGAATAAAGTACTAATTCATTATCGAACCGCTTTTGTTTGACTTCGACTTTGTTGCCAAGGAGGTTGCTACGTACTAACAAAAATTCGCTTCCGCATTCCATTGTGAACCTCATGAATATTCATAAGCTTACGTGTAAAGCGCGTAATTTGTATTTGTTGTTCTTTATGTTTCTTGGTTTTTTTTTACATTTCATCTTCTGTTAATGTCGACTTTTAGACCTGTACGATTATAGAATGTAGTACATTTTCAGTAAACTGGGACTTGTCACATGATTACTCAAACAAGTGTTTGTATAGGACGCTGTCGGCGCCGTCCTAACTTCTTCACCAATCAAAACGTCTGATCCTAAATTTGGTAGCCATGCTAAACGTTAACGCGTGGGGGCGGCACGCATGTTACCTGCATTCCTTCGCATTCCCTAGAACTTCACAACTTGCGATTCTAATCCGGTTTCTATGATCTTGTTTCATTCATGTTTCATTAGCATTGTGCTAATGTTTCATTATCATTGTGTCGGTAAGTTAAACAAGTTCAAAGTCTTGTGTTTTTGCTACACCATCATTGGCAATGTAAAATGTAGCAACACGCTTTTGGTGTACCTTATGTCCCCGGGCAATCCGGAAGTCAGGTCGTCGGTGAGCTTCAGCTGTGGTAGATTTTACAGATTGAGGGTTGTTCCAAGGAACAACCTCCGCTTATCAATTATTGTTCCTAGATTAACTTCGTCAACAACCAATCAGCGCACCCCTTCCAATATTAAAATATCTCTTGATACACGTATTATAAAATCGTACCACAAACAACGTGTTTTGAAGTTGTCCCATGAACAACATGTATCAGAAAGCTGTCCAAGGAACATCATATATTATAAAGTTGTCCGAGGAACAACATTGTATTAGTAAGTATAGAGATGCTGAATTGTTCGAATTACGGACATCAAGTTACGAAAACATCAAATTACAAAAGTTACCGTAATTTAGAAACCACGCCCAAATTCTATTTTATATAGACTCCATGTTCAGTTAATAATGAACCGAACTACGAACAAAAAAGTTATGCTTATTTTATTTAATCCAAAATAGCTAAAATCATTACTACTAAATTTGTTCAATGTCTTTATATTTTGTACAGTGACAAAATCGCACATTTTCACACTCATTGTAAACTTGTGCCCAATTAGAGCCGGGGGGGGGGGGCTACTTCCATAGAAGTGCAATACGGGTATGTGCCGCCCGACTGGGGTGTCATTTCACGTTATTTTGTTTAGAAGTGGGTAGCCATTTATCAATGGTTTGGTTTAGAAATGTGTAGCATTGATTTACTTTTTCACAGATTCTTATATTCAAAGCCAAATACTGGAAAGGCTGAATAAAATGCATTGCCCGGATGCGCTCACTGGTTGCGAAAGTTGTGAGCTGGGTGTTTTTTTTTTCGCTGAAAACACTTGTGTTTAGAAGTGGGTATATAAATAGAAAAAAAAAATGGTTTAGAAGTGAGTATGGTTTTCGAGAGGTGGGCTTCACACCCTTACCCACTTAATGTGGAAGTTACCCCCCCCCCCCTCCCCGGGAATTAGAGTTGGTGTTAGCACATTGCAATGGACATAAAACAAGCAGGTAATTGCTGAACCGGAGCAGCTAGGATATAGTGGTGAAGCAATGATGTAATTTCGGGTATTGAAAATGTCCCTCTTGATTATGCTACATTTGAACACAGTCCCTCTATAGAGGGACTGTGATTTGAATTAAGGACCAATATTCACCCCCAATATTTAATGGTTTATGCTTTACGTACGATCAGGTGTTTTCCATACTTTATAATAACCTCTTGGCATATGATACTGTAAAACCATCTCTCGTTGACGATCACGATTTCTGGATCTCAAGTACGCTGACCAACGCATCATAGCTCTGCTAGAGTATCAAAAAAAGACGAGATTATAATATGATAACAATTTTGAATGAAAAACTATATGTCATATAATTTCCAGATAAATGAAAAACACATGCTGTAATATATCAACATGTGTAATATTTGTCTCCACAAAAACCATTATATTGTCATGCATGATTGATGTTGTGTTTTGCATTTTGATTTGTGGCTGGCACCAGCTGACATGCCAGCGTATTTAGGTTTGTTTAAAAATATTTGTTTATTTTAACAGACTGTTAAATTGAAAATAAGGTTCTGGAGGTATGGTTAATCTTGTTCCATGTGGTCATGTTTTGGGTGCGGTGCGATCAGTCAAATATTTAGGTATGAATATTTATTCTTTGTGTGTTACCATATTATTTTGTCAGCCTGAGTGTGAATCAATATTTAAAGTCTGTGTAGATGGAAATTTAAAATAGACTATCATACTCATCTTTTTATTACTTTCAGCCCAAAATGAATTTGCAATTTCATTATGGTATAATGAAACTTTTTAAAAAAAATATTTTTGTGCCAGGCGACAGTTTTGGACATTGAGTGCCACTGTTGTCTCTCCTGACTTTTTTTTTGTAAGTGCAAATTGCAATGAAACTTTATTATTATTGTCATTATTACAATAAGTCAGTAGAATTTGCAGAAACAAATATTAAGTGTATACTTTTAGGAAAATTCAACTAATGACCCAACTAAGCTGCCACTTGAAATGTACATTAACCTTTTCACCACCAGGTCCCTCTTTTCATCATAAATCCACAAAATAGTTCTGTTTATAGTCTGCATTTTCTTTTGGAAGATTGGAACAAAAATAACCAAACTTTTTTCAGTTAAATCTGAAAATTAACTCAAATTTTGTTCTGTTGGCTAAAAAATTGGGGTTCAATTCCAGAAATATTGAAGAATGTAAGCAAAAAGTGACAACAAATTTGTGAGAAAAAGTCTGGTGGTGAAAAGGTTAAATTGTGCCATGATATATCATCATTTCAAACTGAATGCATCTTGGGAATTTGTTTTAAAGAGGAGAATACTTGATAAATCTGTACTTACCTCCCAATGGCAGATACCACTGAATTACTTAGAAATAAATAAACTGAAAAGTCTTGAGAAACTTTATATAGAAGAACGCACTGATTGCAAACTGGCATTGACTCATTTTAGTAGAATAAACCAAGCACTTGTAAACATTGTTGTCATGGTAACATCAAGAGAGATGATGAGACACACCTGTAAAGTTTACTGTTTCTTCATCCTCCAGTTGAAGTCAATTAGGAATATTCCATTTGTTTGTAGGGGTTGAGGGTCAGATGGGAAAGATTTAAATTGACTGTATACATAAATCAACAGGTGGCTTTAGCTAGTTTTGTTATTACTACGACAAATGACAATCTACCCGACAGATTTGAACCAATTTAGCATTGCATCTTAACATGTATAAAAAAGGCATAATCTCTGTTCATTTCTATACAATTTCACATGTTGACATTTCTGTTTTCATGGTACAAAAGTAATTTGTTACTACCAGTATACTGCACTGACCTCATTCCACCATTGATATTGATAAATTGTTTATTGTTATTATATAAAAATGTCTATTCTTATTAATGAATGTATAATATATGCAATATTATAAATTATGTTGTCAGAAAAACAGCCAAACCAAATGATTTTTGTTTTTTCACGAGGTATCACATTTAAAATAATCTTACATTGCAGACATTTCATTTCAGCATTTTGTTCTTTCCTAAAAAAATTGTGTTCCAAGATTTAATTTAATTTAATTTAATATCCTTTTTCTCCCTAACAGGAGTAATATAACTGAAAACCAGTTATAGCTCTGATTGCGAGGAATGCAGTTGTTTTGTAATTTCATCTTGAGCAAAAACAAAACAGTCTCTTACATACCAGCTCCTTGAATGGAATTTTTTTTAGTAAAATTGAAAATAATAATAGTATTTATTTGTTCCATACCTGTGAAATAAGTGAACATTATGTACATGCGAAGAGTGTTTAAATGAATCTGATAATATACTCTTATGAATACCTCTTTTATTCCCTGATTCATATTTTCTTTACAGATTAATCATCAGAATGTTTGCCTACCAGCTGTGTTGAAATAATACAGCAGCTTTAGTGAATCTGTTACACCGATGAAAACAATAATTGGAATAGACAGATGATACACAACGGTACACTGTGACAGAATACGGCAAAGCAGAAATATCTTCAGTAGGATGGAGGAGTCCAACAGTGTTCACAATTCAGTGGTAAAGCAGTTCCAGGACTGGGCCAAGCAACAGGATTCTAGTGATCTAATTTCAGAAAATTCTGCGTTACCTAGGTTGACGACGGGTAACATGCTTGCCCATGGATATCGCGAGCCTACCGTTGCCCAGTTAGCACTCTGTCTCGTATGGTTGTCGGCTATATTTATTTGGTTCCTGAGAAAAGTTTACCAGAGGAAATTTAAACCGTATGATGTTGATAATGATTTGGAATCAATACCAAATGGTTATTTGAATAATTCAATTAATGATTCTACGGAAAACGCTGAAACTCAAAAATTCAAAGCTTTGGATGCCCATGTTCTGGATAAAATTGAAAAAGCTATTGATGATGCCGGGAAAGACCAAAATCTGAATGAGGAATTGGATTCAAATGAGCCGAAAGAACCTCTACTGAAAAATGATAAAACAAATGATCAAATCAAGGTGGAAAACACTGAAAAAAATGGTAAAAATGGAGAGAAATCAAGTTTCTCCAAAATTAAACCACCTCCAAGCTTTGATGACTTTTTGTTTTATGTAATTGTCTTTGGAGGTATTATGTTATACTTCTATCTGTGTGACTATCAACATATTTTCAAATCAGGAGAGCGGACCTATTCCAGGGATCTCTTCATGTTCTTAGTTCTTCTTCTGTTTTTGGTAACTGCGAGTTTCACGATTCGAAAAACACCGGATAGGCTTATTAATAGGTAGGAGATCAACCATAATCTACTATGAATTACTTTATATTATCGTTAGATGTAATTTAATTTCACTGATTTGGCAAAAAAGTGATGTAAGCCATATTAAAAAATGATTTGGGACAAAGTCCAAAATGAGGACTTGTGGTTTAACCGTTGGTCTGTATCTGCATCTCGTACATGTCTGAACGGATTCTATTCAAATTTTACGCACATAGCTAGAACCTTATGTTGCATATGTGTAAAGTGCATCGATTTCGTGGTCTGATCTAAGATTGTCGCCTGCCAGACATCTTTTATCTAAAAATGCACTAATATTTTTAATATTTATTCGTTATACAGTACATTATGTGGAATAACGTGTGGTTCAAAGGTCAAATATAGTATATTATTATACATCTCTCACCGCAATGCCATAAGTTACAGCGTGCCGTAATTTTGCGGTAATGCACTGGGTATTTTCATCCTACCATATTAGGAAATGCAAATTCCAAATATGGAACGACTCCATGCATGAGCGTCCTTAAATATGGCAGCCTCAGAGTTTGACCAGACCCCATACAAATAAGTTAGCTAAATTTGTTTTAAACTTTTTGTATTTCGGCATTCCCATGATGTATCCTTGTGAGGAAAAGATGTATAATAGTAAGATTATTACAAGGATACCGAAAAGTATGCACTCAGACAGTACATGGTCGCATCAACCTTTGTTGCGCGTCAGTTGTTACTGCCACTGTACTGTCCTTTGGATACTTTTCCGTATCCTCGTAATAATCACATAATATATATTCCTGTGACCAATAATGAAAAAGAAACAAACTTTGTGATTTAAAATTTGCTCGCAAGCATTTATATCAGTGTTTTTATTGATAATTTACCAAATCTTTGTGGTTTCTATAGAGACCAGACAGAAGAATGGCGTGGCTGGATGCAAGTGATGTTTGTTTGGTATCACTATTTTGCTGCCAAGGAAACCTATAATTATATACGCATATTTATAGCTTGTTATGTTTGGATGACAGGATTTGGTAAGTGTTTACTCCAGTAATAGTTAAAAAATAACACATGTATATGTGAGGGCAATATCATGATTTGTTGCTTGTTCACAAAAGATAGTATTCATAACTATAATATTGATGATGCCAAAGCCGAAAGTAGGGACATCATTATTATTATGGTCATGACTAACAGCCCAAGGGCAGAAACAAATCGTGATATTGCTCAAATGACCATGTGTTATTAATTTAATCACATCAAACAGGTATTCACCATGCAACTACATTTCATCTCTCACACTCGCTCTCCAACAAAATAAAAACACTTATATTTTATTTCATGTATTATACTAAGTGACACATGATTAAATAACGTGTTTTTGTGCATACACTGTTTGCTGACAAAAAAAACAATTTGAAATGCACATTAAATGTTACTTTCAGAAGTGTGAATCATTAATTGGTATATCAATTTATCAAATATCGCATAAAATTATTGGAGTGAATTGAGAACATTTAAATGAAAGTTATTTTGCCACTCGACAGATGAAAATGTTAGCAATACCAGGGTTGTTTTACTCCAGTATTATAGTCTCCTTTTTACTCCTTGTTATCAAATCCAGCAATGCTAAGTTGGGAAAAAAAAATAGGCTTTTGACCACAATCCGTGCATCTTTATTCAACTGAGAATATGTTGAACATTACTAAACACTATTATGTTCACTTATAATGTGTAATATCTTCTCGATTTCATAATCTGGACATTTAGTGAATTTTGTTGCTGATACTTCCAATTCAAAAAAACCATACTGTCAATATGATGACATAAATAAAGTCGTGACAGCTGTACCATTATGGTGACTAAGCCGATGATAAATGTACGTTAATATGAATGTAATCGTAACAGCTGTAACCTAGTACATATCTAGTATTCATTATAACCACCGATAAAATGACCATCAGCTGGTGGTGTCAAAGGTCATTGTTTCTGTATTGTACGTGGACATACTATGTATGGTGTGACAAACATGCACCAAGCAATCTGTCAGAACAGTTCTGATTGGTTCCTCATTCCAGTCTCTATAATCCTGACTGATTGGTCAACGAAACCAAACTAAAAATAAATTCTGTATCTCCATTCTAATTGGTAGAAATTCTCTTGAAAACCTTACATAGGATTTACTAGCACCACATGACGTTTTCAAACACCAATTAGCATTAAAATTTGCGAGTCAGTCAGCAATGTTACCTTTAGACAAGCATTTGCTACTTTGTGGCTCATACTGACAAAGTTGGGTACAAAGTAACTTTTATAATGGACCAATCCATTCTATTCCATTATCTATTCAAATATCATGAATTATTGGTTACAACCAAATGACGAAAATAAACATCCTAAGCATTTTGATATATTTTAAATAGCCAATCTCTCACAAAATTGTCTGTCTCCTGGCTCACTGTTGTAGCTCATGGACCAGGTTTTGATTCATATATAATTCACATGACACTTTGGTGTAATCTCACAATCCACAACAGAAGCATAATTTGCTTATCTGCTTCCACACCCAGTTAATCTCCAATTTGACCTTATTTTTTTTTAATTAATTCCTGCATATGTTATTAACTGTGTTCATGATAAAGTAACCATACATACCAACATTATTCACACAATGAAATGTTTTGTATTATTAAGACCTGCGGTGGTTATTCAGTGTAAATGGCATTTAATTTAATTTGGAATAATTTCCCATCGGAATATAAATATACATATACAGTGGGTATTTTAAAATGACTCAATACATTTAATCTGTTCTTTTGTTTTAGGTAATTTTTCCTTTTTCTGGATCCGTAAAGACTTCACATTTTGGAGAATGCTAAAGATGCAATGGAGACTAAATTTCTTGGTCACAGTAGTGTGCATTGTAACTGATAACGATTACATGTTGTATTACATATGTGCCATGCATACTTACTGGTTTCTCACAGTCTGGATTTTTATGAGAGTCCTCAATTCATGGAATACGGATCGCAAGAAAATGGCTGCTAAATTTTTTGCTTATTTTGTATTTAATGCTATTATTTTTGATATACCAGGTGTTGGAAATGTGGTGTTTCAACCGTTTTATTATATTTTACGATATCAAGACTCCATGCACGAGTGGTTGTTCAGGAGCGGCCTGGATCACTACGCTACATTCTTAGGCATGCTGTGTGCATACAATTATCCACATTACGAAAATTTTTTGAAATACTTGGAACGAAAAGACGACCTCAACCACTATAAATTGGGAATTGTTATAAAAGCTATTATCGGGATAGTAATTGGAATTATTATTTTGATTTGGCATAGTACTATAATGTATAGAGATAAATACGAATATAATCTCTATCATCCATACACCTCATTCATCCCAATATTGGCTTTTATTTATTTCCGAAACCTTTTCCCAATTTTGCGTTCACACTATCTTCATCTCTTTGCCTGGTTGGGTAAAATCACCTTGGAGACGTACATTTCACAGTTGCACGTTTATATGCAGGCTCAAGCCAAAGAATTGATTGTTTACTTTCCTGGTTATCCGTTAATTACCTTTGCCATGGCAACCGCCGTGTATTTGTTTATAGCATATTGGTTGTTTCAGTTGACAACGGAATTCAGTGCCTATTTATTGCCAGCAGACATGAAAAAAGTTGGCATTAACTTTGTTGTAGCTGTGATTGTATGCAGTGCATATGCCGGGCTAGCATTTACTTTAAAAAACACTGGAATAATTTGATTACTGAAACACCACAAGACAGCAAAGTGTTATGAGGGTGTGATGCATTTATATTCTTGATCACATGCACTTCTAATAGAGACTACTACTAGTATATAGTTTATATAGATTTTGAGAAGAGTGCATGACCACTTTTGCGATCAAGATTCACATGAGCTATGACAAGAAAAGAACAAGTAATTTCGCTAGATTTTATTTCCACCGAGTCGTCCCTACAGCGATTATAAATTCCAAGTTCCTTAATAATCATGTCATGGCTCAAAAAATCTGTGACCATAATATACAGAGGTCTGTATTATCTTTGTCGTTGACACTGACAACTTTGGCTGGTTCCAAGCTAACATTTGATTATATATATTCACATATATCAAGTTTGTAACTCATGCACAGTACTATTTTATGTGCAATTTACAGTAAATATTTGTATTTGAAAGATAGTGGTTTTCACTTGTAGGGATGAATGCAATTTCCATGTTAATACTGTCATTAACTCTAAACAATTAATAGGTCTATTGTTTTCAAATATCTAGCAGGCATTCACATTTCACAAAATTCAATCAAGACGTATAGCTACCAGGCTAATAAAAATGTCCATAATTACGATTTGGAACAAATAGATAGCATTGAAAGGGTTAAAAATAACTTTTATTTGAGACATTTGAATTTATTTTATTTGCAACAATATGTGAATAAAAAATACT